TGTTTTTGTTCTTCTTCTTCTTGGGTGCAAGCTCAGTCTCTTCCTTCTCATTCCTTTCTTTGTTCTTCTTCTTGGGTGGTGCAGTCTCAGGCTCTTCCTTCTCGTCGTCTTCTTTGGGTTTCCTACCTCTTGGCTTCTGTTGGGTTTTCTCTTCCACAACAGTGTTGAGTGCAGTGTGCAATTGACGCTTTAATGTGCTCCGTGCTTCGGGATCCAGTGGTTTGTGGGAACTACCAGTAGTGCTTGCAGCCTTTGCTCTCAAAGGCAAATGGGGCTGTGGTGGGTGCACCGGTTTGGAAACAGAACCTCCAGTCTTGCCGCCACTGGCTGGAAAAGGGCTTCTGATAGGCACCTCAGTTTTGTCCATTGTAACTATCGTCTCTATAATATAGTTTCTCTAGTAGTTTCTCTAAGGGGTTATGCAATATGTTCTGAGGCTCTTTTTGTGTGTCTGTTGATTTTAGGTGAAGGCTTTTCTGAGGAGCACACAGCAGGAGGTGTTTCCAATGCTCCGGGACTGTCATCTAGCATTGAATTCAAATCCTGCAGCATGGCCAATGGGTCAGGTGATAAACAAACGAAACTGGCAGCAACTAACCACAGTGTTTTGCCCCATCATTGATCCCACAACAATCCATAAGCTTTTGGTTGAGTCCTGCTTGAACCCATGTAAAGCAAGCACATCGGTCAGCGAAAGCATTTGGTTTGCCTCCATCCTTTTGATAGAGACCTTGACTGAACCTATAGCCAACCCAACTGTAAAACGGCTGAGGCAGAGAAGCATGGAGAACGAGTTCATGCAAAGGACGACCGGGCGAGCGGTGAGCGGTGAGAGTGGCATGTCACGGCGGAAACCACAGCAGACTCGCATTCCATGTTGGCTACCTTCTCCGCTTTCAGCCAAGCGGACTTCCCATGGCCAATGATGAACTCCTTGCAATCAATATCTATGTCTTGGTGAGCCACCTGGGCAAAAAAGATAAACAACAGTTGGCAGAGTAATCACAGCCAAACCACCCCAATAAAACAGCCAATGTGAGTAGCAGCTCTCAAGAACTGCTCAATATTGTTCACTGTTTTGTTGACTAGGGACAAGAAAGAGCTTGAACTTCTGGGTTTCGATCATGGCCACCGACTCCCCTTAACGACGGGTTGCCACCATGAAGTACCAGGAAGTTCCTGGGTGCCGCCCTGAAAAACGAGCTTCCACGACGTAAGTGTCCAGCAAGCCTTGCACCTCCTGTGGCTCGCAGGACCACGCGCTGGAAAAGTTCTTCATGATCATCAGGCTCAGCTGGAACAATGGCTCTCTCAGGAACTGCAGTAATTTTGGCACCAAACCTCAAAGGATGCTAGTTTCAATAGGATGGGGCGCAAGTTGATGATTGTGCACAGATCTATGCTGTTTTCCAGCCACTTTGTGGGTGTATTGGGTGTATGATTTGGGTAAAGCAACATATTTATAAGCTTTCATGTGAGTTAAACTTGGCGAGAAGCTTGCGGTCGAACTCTTGGACGAGTCCTTTCCATTGTTCGCAGTGAACTGGATCCCCTAGGTGACGTTGTCGCACCTTGTTGCTGAGGGAAATGTTGAATTGGCTCCATCCTTTCTTGTTGTTGTCCACCGTCACAGTCGCTAGCTTGAACGTGAATTTCTCAGCGTCTACCTCTTCTACTGGCGGTGGGGAAGGGTCATAGCGCCGCACGTCCCCGAGAACATCCGATCCTTGTTTCCACTCCTGCTAGGGTTCTACCTTTGCGACTAGACTGCCCATACTCCTATTAAAGTTTAAGTCATGAGACCATATCCCTATGATCTGGAATGGATTGAGACTTAGCAAGTCCCGAACAATGAAAACATAACAAGCTGGATTGAACACCTTGATTTGGAAACAAACTAACTATGGAAACACCTTTCCTCCAGGAGGTGCATGGCAACCAGCTTCTGGGTGTAGTTCGCCACATCTGCATCTGTCCCCAAAGACAAAGATCGAATCTTCTTCCCAGCGTTGTTCAGGTGGAAGCGAAGGCAAACTTTTTCAAGGCAGGCGTCATACGGGCTCAAGTTGATCACTCCGATGGTTGACTGTGCATCGGATCCCTGTAGAAAAGAATTCAAGATCGATTCTGGCAGGGCAGCGCCGGTCAGCAGCTGGGCTGTCAGGGGGTAGCTTTTAAAGGCTTTCTGTTGAAACAGTTGACTGTGGTATATAGTATGTTTTATGTCTTTGGGTTTAAGTTGTCAACGCTAAGTGGCTTTTGGTGACACAGTGTACTTGATACTTGTTTGCAACACCTGCCTCATTCCTTCGCTCGCGTGAGGCAAACTGTCTTTTCCTTGTGGGACTTCATACTGGCTTTCTGGCACCCACGGAAGAAGGTCTCTGTTTGACCTCAGATTTTCAACATGGAACATGATGTAACCCCAAATTTGGTTCATTAACTTCTTTATGTTTAACAATGTATGAGCCATTGACCGGTGGTATACCCAGAAAAGCATGCCACATAGAAGCCTGGGGGCCTGTCCTGCATCATCATGGATTTGCTCCACACATTGTTTTCCATGGTGCCATTCTGGAAAACAGCCCATCCAGGAAAAGTGATATTGTAGCAACCTTTTTGGAGCTTGGCGGAACATCACATCGGATATTGATGGGTGAAGCCAGCAGCATTCTGGCATCCAGCTTGTCCTTGGTGTTGACGAGCAAGGAATTAGGACTCTGTTGTTTACAGGGCCAGGGTTGCACTGAGCTGTTTACAGGTTTTCTTGAATGTTTTAGGATGTTGTAGGTCCCTTCGAGCTTTCCCATAACTGGCCAACCCCACAGCTGACCAATTCCCTTTTCAGTCACCCAGGCCCCAGAACTCCTCCATTCATCTCTCAATGAGCTTCGCCGTTCGGAGGTGAGTTGCGGTGCAATCAGAAAGCCACGATTGCTCTGGCAGAGCTGAGAGGACCCGCTGAAGAAGATCTGTCGTGTGGTTCAGGTCGGCGACACTCAAGCGACCAAACTTCATGAAGTCCAACCAAACCAGCACACTGGACTTATCTTTCTTCATGCGGTTGATGAACTCAGGGGTCAACATTTGTTGGTCCAAATCCAAACTTGATCTTTTTCCATTGTTGCCACATTTCAGTGATGATGCGTTGAACAATCAACAAGTAGAAAAGGGAAGTCCATCAAAATAAAGGTTTGACATGACTTAGTAACATGATGTAACATGTATGTATCACCTACTGTGTGACCCATGCCTCATCTAGCTCAGGTTGAAGTGTGGCCAAAGAAGCTGAGCGTTCTGATTGCTGACTCTTCTGAAACAGGTTGGCACGCTGAGCTGTGTCTCTAGCCAGAGCTAGCTGGTCAGCTTGGAACTGGGCATCATTCTTTCTCTTTTCCAGCTTGCTGATCTCACTGTCTGCAGCGTCCAGAGCGGAGCTCTTCATACAAACATCGGCCATGTTCAAACGCCAAAGATCTGTGTCGTTGGCACGAAACCCTGGGTGCTGGCATTCCACCAAAGGTTTGAGCTCATCATGGAAGTCCCTTGGGTTGGGAGTAACATAAACCAGCCAAGAGCAACATAAACCAAGCAAAGAGTAACGTTTTTGGTATGGGAGGCGACCAAAAAAGGTTGATTCTTCTTAACAGTTCATTCCAAAAAGGTTGGGCAACCAAAAAACACAATGTACTACACCAGGTTATTGAGAAAGCGAGAGTCCCTTCGATGAAGCGCTTTCTCACCAAAGCCATGGTGTCAGCAGAGAAAACAACAAGTCCTGAAGCTGGTCATGAGGTTCATGACATGCCCTGCAAGACAAGCTATGTCAGCTTCTTGATGCCATTGCTGGGAGTTCATTCTGATCACTTGGGCCTTTCCAGCCCTGATCTTCGTGACATCGAAAATGAACAACACCCTCTCCAGCCTCTCCATGAAAAGCAGCTGCTTGGACTCTTCCATCTGTAGGGCCTCATACCAAATCCCCGCGGCTGTTTTTGGAACACCGTTGAGCAGCCACCTCGCCGCCAGGAGGTTCTCTTTGTGGAAGGCTGCAGGGGGGCAAGGGCAACAGACAGGAGTGTCCATCTTATGGCGGCGACCATCAAAGGACCATTGTTTTTTAGATATAAACTAAACATGGCCCTAATCTTTCTTCAAACACCAATATACGACACCCAGCTCCTGAGGCTTCGAAGCGGTTCACATGCAAGTGTTGTTCAAGTATATAGTCGCCAAACATCTTTGCATACACCATTCTGACAGGTTGCAAAGAAGGGTTTATGCATATCTTGCTCTGGGAAAACCTATCAAACCTTAAACTACTGATTCTCTACAGACAATTTCTCTATCCAATAATGATTTGAAGCTCCCAAACCTTGAGCCCAAACATCAGGCTAGATGTAGACTTGTCGATGCGATGCTTGGGGGATGTCGCAGCAATGCCATAGGCGTTGAACTCTTCAATGCCGCGGTCCCAACAAGCGGCGTAGTCCAGCTACCCAGCACTCTCCTACCAGGTCCCGGTTAGGTAACTAGTTGAGATTTAGTTGCCGGCAATGATTACAGGATCTACCCTTATCTGCCCAAGCATTGGAACGTCCTACACCCAACAGTAATTACTAGCAAGCAAGCAGTCAGTCCTTGAGAACCTTTTCTGCTCGGTTGTGAAATAGAAGTGAGAGCTGAATCACATTCTTCTTCTGTCTTTCGGCCTGCTGTTGTGACACCTGGATGCGCCGCCAAACATAGTCTTGATCTTGTGCCTCCTCCACAAACTGACATGGAATCACTGCCGCAGTTTGCAACCACCTTAGATGTTTGATCTTGGTTCTTCTCACAACATTCAGATGGAAAAATGTTTCCCATAGGGGTTTTGGGAGATCCCTCATCATCACCCTATATGAACATGCGGATGATATAGTTCAATTTTAACCATGAAGCAATGCAGAAAGCCTCAACACTTTGAAAACCTTGCCCAACAGGTTCTGACCAGCTTTCGATTTGACAAGTGAGAGAAACACTGGGGAGGCGACGGTTTGGGGAGATTCTTTGCGTCACCCTTGGGGACCGACGCTCTGATCTGGAGCATCACCCTTGGAAAGTTCTTGTCAAGGTGTTGGGATGATGATGGTGGCCGGGTCATCATCCTTGGAAGGCTTGTTGGGGTGAGTTTGGGGCGACGATTTGAGATCTGCGGCGACGGTTTGGTTTCAGGGACGACGATGGGGACCGGAGCATCACCCCAGCATGGCCCCAACACACCCCCAATGAAATTTGTGAAACTTGGATGTTCCAAGGGCGACCCTTTCTACCCCCCAAGGCTTCCCAGGCACCTTTTGAACTGTTCTGACTCCTCATCGCTCAACCGGTTCTTCAGGTGGATGTAGTTGTAAGTGACTGTGAAGAGCAAGATCGACAGCCTTCCGAATCCCTTGGTGACTTCTACCTGTCCAAAGTCCAGTTGGTTCCCCTTCAAACCAGCTTTCACTGGTTTGAACTCCAGGCCCTCACGCCACCCCTCGTACCCAGCCCAAATCGATTGGGCCGTGGAGGCCCAGTCGTGCAGGACTGGCAAGCCATCGCTGGGGACCCAATGGTAAAGGCCACAAGCTTGAAGTTGGAGACCCGCGAAGTCTCCTTTGGAGAATTTTGATGTTTCATCTTTAGTGATGGTTTTGAAATCACATTCACCTCCAAAGTTTCCATAAGCACCAAAGACTATTAGTCGAGTATCTGGCATGTCCACCTCTGATGGTTTCAAAGCTGTGTCGCCCAAGACTTCATCAATCCAGGCAGCGAGAGGCGCATACAGCTTTGGCTTGAGGTTTTTAATCAGCCACGATACCGGGTGCTCATCTTTCATCGGGTCGAAGGTCCTGCACCAACAACAGGAAGATATTCAGTTCATATTCCTTTTCACTGGGCTGTTCTTTTTCCAAAGTAAAAGAAATGCAAGAGGCAAAGGTCCCCTTACAGCAGAAATCATTGTCCCCATCCATGCTGGCGCGCTATCGAGCTTCCGTGCTTTAGCCGAGGGTGGTGTCCCTCTCTGGGCCCTTTTCCCCATCCTCAAGCACAGTCCTACCCCAACAACGGCCCCAGCGGAACCAAAAATGCTTGCAGGAGGTTTGAAAGTGAACTGCAACCCAAAGTAGGCAAATACCAGCATAGCCAGTTCAGCAGGTGGTGATCCATGAAGGCATGAGTGTTCAGATTCAGTGAATGCTTTTAGCAACATCGCATCTGTGATAGCTTGCTAATTAAAGGCCTTTCGCGATCCAATCAGATTGGAATCAGGCACAGCTGTGCAAGAATGATTGCCACCCCTACACAGGGAACATGCGTTCCATTGCCAGCCATCCTCGTTAAGGATGTGGCACTGACATCACCACATTCAAGGCGAATGGATTTGCGCATTCGAGCTTCCTGGCGCGTCGTGGGCAATTGAAGACTCCCAAGCATCTCGATGGGCTCTAGGAACCGATTGGCTTCCTGGAGGGACAAGGATTGAGGAAAGAGCCCAACAACACCAGTTTCTTTCTTCTTTGCTTTCATTCAGAGATTTATCGCCGTCATGCCATGGCACCTTGCCATACAGCTTCCCCGAATTGGTTGTCAAGGTCATAAGGCACCCATCAATCAAGTCTGTACGAGTCCGCTTGTTGCGAACCATTTGCGCCAGGCCACCCGCCACTCCTTGGCCTTGCTGCACATGTTCGGGTCCAAGTAGTCTCGCAGGTTCGCTGCCTCAAAATGGAATGAAGTGTTCATTGGTTTCGGACTGGTTGTCACAAGATGAGGCTGCTTACTGTTTTGTGTTGCGTTTGCAAGCCAGTTAAGTTGAGGTACATTGGATTAAGTTGAGGTACATTGGATGGCCTCCAGGGAAAGAGTGAAAAAGTCCTTCGCGGTCATTTGTGGTTTAGCCTGCAGGCTGTTGAGCACTCCTTCAAAAGTGAAGTTCCTGCTTTGGCGGAAGCATGCCTTTTTCCATGCCACCCCATAGAATCTGGGTCGCGCAGCAGAAAACCCAAACGAACGAGGGTCAATCTTGAAAGAAGCGCATGTCCATGCCGATGACAGTTCTTTGGAGACCACCTGTTCCATATCGTATTCTGTAACGTTTTCCAAAATGAGCAGTTCACGCTGGTTCTCACAGCCTTGGTAGAAGTCTTGGTGGCACCGGTATTTGGGATCGTCCTGACCCAGCTTCAGGTCCATCTTCGAGTATGGCTGGCACGGAGCACCTGGCCAGAAGGAGAAGCACTGCATGTCAGCTAGCGAGTTAGATACAACAGTCAGTTGAACACCTTTTTATTTTAATTGTTTTCTTCACTGAAGCCACCTTTGGCCTGACAGCAGGATACACTCACATTATGGTGGTTGTGTTGGCTTTGCGGAAGCTGTTGTTTCCTTTGCCCCACGAAGCATCTTCACAGCATTTTGCACACTGCAAGGGCTCCTGAGCTCAGCCTGTATAAAGTAGGTGGGGTTTTGTGGGTCGCAGGGTGATGAAGTTAGCGCATGTCCATAAAGGCAGCTTCTCAACACCAGCGCAGTGCAAACAAGCATCATGTTCTGGTGGCAATGGGCACGCAAACCCGGTTCGGCGGCAAAAAACAACTTCAGGAAGAGAAGCAATCAAGTGCATGACGGCAAACGACGCTTTTGACACAACCATTGAACGTGTTAAAACTGTTGGTTCTGAATCTTGATTTAACAAGCTATGCCATGCCTGTCGGCTATCACACAAATAGCCAGCAGGCAATTTTTCACTCCCAAAATATTCTGTATGGTTGAACCTTCGGTTGGCAGCTAACTGCACAGTAACATACCTCATTGCTCGCTTCGAGCTGCACTGATTTTGCAACAGCCCCAAGCACCAGAGACGATACCTGGTACAGCTTCATTTCTGCATCAACATTATCCTTCGACAGGATGACCTTCGCCTGCCAGGAGAGTTTCGTTTTGAAGTGGGCGAGAACCAAAACATCCAGAAGGTGCCATTACGGGATTGTGTTCATGAAGTCACCAGGCCGCACCTGAGCAATCGCTAGCTGTGACTTTGTCCGAATCTTCGCTTCCTGAAGCAGGTGGGACAAAAACATATTGCAACATGATTTATCATGTTTCTATGAAGGTTCTCACTGCCAGATTCCTAGTTTTCCATTTAACTCTCATGCGTGCCTTGTCCAGTTGGTTCTGTAGATCCTGCGAAGGAAAGCATAGTGAAGGCAGCTTTGTGTAACGGTAGTGACTCTGACGTAGTCTTTGCATGCCGCCTTTACACCCCACTTGAAATCACCCTGAATGGTCCTGCATCTCATCCTTGTGTAAAGGGACACTGGACATCTTGCACAGGTCTGCGATCTCCTGGGCCTGGCGACATGGAAACTGAAACACCTCTTGATGAATAGAAGCAGCAGCCTTGAATTCCAAGTTCTTGTGCTTGTCCTTGCGGAGATACGGATTTGGCAAGACCTGCGGGCACAAACTGTGTTGTAGACTTAAACTTGAATCGCGCTTTGCCCAATGATGCAACAACACTGACTCATTCTGTTCTTCAAGACTTTCGCTGGGGGCTCCATCGATGAGGTCACAGCTGATCCTTTCGGAGCAGTGTCAGGCTCGGGCGAGTCACTGATGGTCTCGACCAGGTTCTCGTTGGATCTCTGCTGATGATAAGTGTTGGGCCCATGCCACGCCTTCCAGTTTGAGTTGCAGTTCCTGCACAAACTCAACACTTAATTTCCTGGTTGAACATGTTCAGTTTGAGAAATGAGAGAGCAGTTGACTGATTTCGTTTTGACCTTGCAAATTGCCTTGCGTGTCAGCTGTTAGTTTGTCACTGAACCTGGCCTCCAAGCACTCTGCGGAGGCTCCTGCTGAGAGTCATGCTGGGTGTCCTGGTAGGTGTCTGGGCTATAGGAGCCCCAGGAGTCCTTTTGTCGACGCATTGTTGCTCGCTAAGCAACTGAGCAAAAACTGTTGCTTTGTAACCTGAAGTCATTCACACACACAGTAAGCCAGCCACTAGTTGGCAACAGTGCAAGACATTGTTGGAAAACCAAATGCGAGGAACTCTCAGCATAGTTACCTGGTTTCACGGGCCACGCGGTCGCTCCAAGCGTGCTGAGAACCTCATTTGAGGTATCAGACGAGCAATTGGTGCTAAACTGGAAGGATTCAGGTTCACAAATTCATCAAACTCAGCTGGGGTATGTGTACATACCCAGTTGAGTGGAGGTACTGGCGAGAATCTCTTTGAGTGATTCTGATCAAGTATTGCACAGACCGACCATCATTGGGGTGTGCTTCAAGCAAAATCTGTGCAAGCGACAGCAACTTCTTGGTCCTGTCCTGGTCAAAAGCCTTGAGAGGTCGCGGTGTTTGCGGAACACTCCCAAGGATTGCCATAAAAGCTTCAGGGAAGACGAGCATTGGATCCTCCAGCAAACAAAACACCTCAAGCTGTTCCTTATTTAACAGTTGCACGCCTGGCTGAGAACCTTGTCAGAGGCATAGCGTTTGATGCAGCAGCAAACATCATTCGAAGACGTTGGCCAACGATTCCTTCCTGGACCCTCCTCAACCACGGTCATTGTGCTCGGTATATCTGGCAGCGGCCAATCCGAAAACCAAAGACAAACCTGCGTTCAAACAAAAATGGCCAATCACAGGCAGCCTTTTCTTCTGAAGAACAGGAACGCGTGTGCCCCCGAAGAGTCATCCCTCAAGGCGCCGCTCATTCTGACAGGGGCTCTCTCCAACCTTCGGCCACTTTACAAAATAAGGCTCAAACCATCAACAGCAATCACATCTCATACTTCACTCAACACCATGCTTAACCAAAGAGCCATGTTTTCCAATTTCTGACCGTACCAATGGGCTCAACAATCACTTGAGCAGTATTGAGCCATTTCTTCAGGTTCAACTTGCCGGTCACATATTTCAACTTCCTCAGGGACACAAAAAAGTTGCTTGCTGTACACGGTACTGTCTTGTGGGATGTATGCACTTGGGAACTTAAACCGCTGTAAGACATGTGGTTGGCAGCCGAAGCTCTCGATCAAGTCCATGTCGTCGGCGAGTACATCAATGAATCGCATCGAGCGACTCAATACTCCAAAGACTTGGTCTTAGTCCAATGCAAGAGCCTGCTCCATCGATTAAACTCAAAGTCCACTCAAAACCATTAAAGACCAGGGCACCAAGTGAGCCATGTGTATGGCCCAATGTCTGGAAGACCAGGCCACTGAATTCCAGTCCTTTCTGAAGGAGAAGCCAAGGTAGAAACTTCAGAAAAGTGTTGTTCTTGTTCTCCCTCACGCAATTATCTGCCTTATGGTGGTTTGGAATGTGTTTGGTTGACCTGGCGTCTGAGACATGAGCAATATGCAAATTGTTCATTCAAAAAACGCATCCAGGAAACCATCACCAAGATCTTCCGTCGAGGAGAGACTCCTCTCTCAGCGCAGATGGTAGCCATGGATGCGTCCGAACTTTGTCGCACATCCAGACAGTACAGGCAGAAACAAATCTGGTGGAACCAGGCCCCTTGCACTTTTGTGCGAACTCTCTCATGCTTTGCCAGTGGCTTAGTCACTATTCCGTGCCTTGCTCGAGGGAGGGACCACTTTGATTGATCCATGCCGTCCTGACAAGAAAAAGCAACCATGGACATGACACTGACAATGTTGAAGACATTCGTCTGATTGCTGTCAGAGCTCGGCAGTGATGAAGAGGGTGGCAGTGTCATCGAAAAGTGGGTTGGACTCCTTTATAGAAGTCACTTTCACTCTCATTGCTTTCACAGCTTGATCTTTTCAAGTAATAGTGACATTAAATATCATTAAATGTCACCTGTCCTGAAAATATGCTTCAAGCTGGCGGTCAGCAGATACTGCTTGCATTTGTGCTTGGTAGTGTCGGGAAATCTCAAACTTGTCCATCGGGTCCTTGGCAGGGTAGCTTGTGTTGTTCCCGAACACTCTAACAACATCTTTGAATGCAAGGTTTGGTTGAATCCTCAAATGAAGTTTTGAATGCAACGCAGTCGTCACATGCAGGAAGGTTGGTTGGCTGAATCTCAGCAAGTTTTGCCACTTCGACTTGTATCGGCGTGTGAAGTGCACAAACCTTGCCCGCAACAACAGGCCCACTGAAGGAAATTATACCATACAATTAATGCAACATGTCGCATTAATACAATGCAACAAAACAAGCTAAGGAACGACGCATCGCCTGGATACCCAGAATGAAGCATTCGCAAGTTCCCAGGCGGCATGTGTCGCGTTGGAAGTGTAGAGGTATCAGTGGCAAAGGCTGTGTCAACTATCCTCGTGATCTCCGATCACAACTAACATTGAAACAAACCTTCAACATGCAAACCACTGGAGATCAGTGGACCCATAAGATGAAGTTTGAGGTCAATATCATCCGCTATCCGCTCATGCGGAATCAACTCATCTTCATCAATTGCCAGATCGGGCTCACCTGGTGTGTTGGGGATGGTATTTGTGTGGAACAGCGGCGGGCAAAGCTTCCAGGTCGCGATGGTTGCAGCCTAGGTACTGGTGTCATCATCATGTGTGCTAGGTCCAAATGCCACACTCACTATCTGGCTCTCTTGGCCTTTGGCCTGCTTGGCAGTGCGTACGCGAGCAGCGCGTTGAAACCTGAAATCAAGATTTGCTTGCGCTGCAGACCCAATACTTTCAATGAGCAACCCTCCCCAAAAGAAAAGGCGAGCAACCTTGTAGGCAACATCCCTGCTTGCTGGATGTAGATCTTGAGGAAAAACTTATCCACGCTCATGTACTTGAGTGGATGCCGCTTTTTTCCTCAAAACAAGCCAGCCCTCAGAGTTTCAACCAACACTGACTCTAGTGAGTTTGAACGGTTGCAAGGCCGAGGTTCACCCCCAAAGCAAGCATAACGGCGGTCCACTACACCATCCCCAGCTGTTTTCATTCGATCAACCCGGATACCCCACACGGATGTGATGCATCTCGCAGACATCGATATGCCAAGAAAGGTACAGCAACGATGTCCAGCTTGAGTACCATTGACGATGTGAAAGATCTCAGCTGTCTAAACTTGAATGTTGTCAAGAGACTCACAAGGGTTCTGGTATAGGACATTGAACCCTGACATTGAACTGCAAAGGATTGAGGTCGTGACGTAGGAATCTTGTTGTGCTTTTTCCATGCTCCAAAAGGAATCCAGATATTGGATGATCTCGGGCTCTTTTACTTTGATCTTCTCAAAACAATCTAGGCGATCACATCGGCACTGATTGCTCGAAATCAGCTGTTTCACCCTCTCCACAGAGCGCCCATTGTCGCTGTGCCTTTGAAAAGGCATGCAGTACCGCAGGGTTTGGGGCTATGGAAACATAGCCGCATGCAACAAAAAGAGAACACAGTCATTCAAGCAAAGACTAGAAACAAAATCCTGTCACTGGGTTGGGCATAGAACTTCCGCTTCGAACTATTGTAGTCTGGTCGTTTCTCTGGGACCGGTTTTTCCTTCTTGAAAGTTTTCCCAGCCCAGGGTTTTCATTTAAATTAAGGAGGTTGAACTCGATGACTTTGGTTGATTGTCTTGGGGGCCTGAGCTTCTTTCAAAAACGCAAAGTAGGACCTTCTCGAATCCAAAGCGTCTGAAGAAGCAGCAGGTGGCGCAGGGACAACATCAGACGGATCTCTCAGGAACCTCGCCGTAAAGCCATGATCCTCTTCACGGCTACAGGGCCGAGCTTGTTCCTGAAACCTCCACTCCACCCACCTCAAATACAACGAAACCATCCTCAATGAAAACGAAAACGACTTATATACAGTCAGACATTCCCAAGCATTTGCGCCTCACCTTTCTCTCCTTCGCGGCTGGGTCTGAGGCCAAAGATGCCCTGGAGATGCTGGAGGCCCGTCGCAGTCCCAGGGTCCAGCACCAAGCTGTCTCGTGAAGATTCGGTGAAGATGACGGAGCTAGGGCAGCTAGGGCTCAAAGGACTGGACACATTGCCAAAGCCGTAGCTGCTTCGAGAACGAGCCTGAGCCCAGAGCACCAGAGCTTGCTGAGTCCGGCCTCCAAGGACTTTTGGCCACCACATTGCTGGGAACTGGCTTCTTGCCGTGCTCCCCAGGTTGAGGGTTGGCTTCACAGTTGCAAAAGCACTCGTTGGCCACACACGTGGTTTTGCAGCAGTGCGCCTGTTTGGCCACAGAGCTCTTTGTGTTTGGCTCAGGGTACTGGCGTGCAGTAGAACATGGATGTTGATTCTTGGAGTTGGGACAGGCATGGTATGTTGTAATGTAAGTGCAGCTAAGACCTTGGAGGTGATCATTCCGCTTCCCTGGAGGTTTAGTCATTGTTTTGACATGTTTTTGCCAGCGCTGGCAATCCAAGCATTTTTCGACGGGCCCCTTTAGAGCGGCATCAAAGGCCCCTAATACGGGGGCTGCAAATGCTCATGCGGCCATGCGTGAAGTGCTGGAAAGGCTCAGCTGACAATGCATGCCACCGATGGTAGAGAGAGGGCGAAGGGACAGAGAGAGAGAGAGAGTGAGTGAGTGAGCGAGCGCAGGCTATGCAGATTGACTTGCTTCTTTGTTTAAGCCTTATTCAGAAGACATGCGTAGTATGACGCTGTTTGAGGTGCTCGTGCATTTTCCAGTGGTGTCAATTTGCTCCACGAAGGCCGCTATGGCTTTGGGTTAGATCAGGGAAGGTGGTGGAAGAGTAAACCATCCAGTGCAAAAAGAGAATGCGGTGAGTTTGTCAGTCCTTGGATTCTAAGCAGGCTGGAAGAAAATGCGCCCAAACCAGCCCATAACTTATATAGTTATAACTTTTTTTTGGGCTGACACCCATTTTGGGAAGATTTGACCTGACCTATCACAGTCAAACTCGCAGGAAAGGGCTCAGATGGTCATGTGGCGCTTTGACCTCGGTTTCGGCATGAGGCCTTCGTCTTCAGCACTTGGGCGACTGGGCCGCGGCGCTCAGCGCCTTCCGCGGTGCAGCCCAAAACTCACCGATGCTGGGGGCGGCCGCCAATAACGTGCCTGGGTGGAGGAAGGAGCAGCAATTGAGAGGTTAAATGGTTGAATGACTTGAGTCTGACAGAAGCCTTTTGGACTTTCCATCTCCTTTGGTGGACCCCTTGTAGGAAAATGAAGATGCAGTCTGCAAGGGGTGCCTGCCAATCATGAGCCATGACGACCCCAAGAAGTGAATCCCAGGCAGAGGGCCTCTTACTCCTCCGGAGCAGTGTGCCCGTGGCGCATGGGACTCGGGAGTTACAGCGAGGCGCCGGGCGACGGATACGGCAGGTCATGTCGTAGCTTTTTCAGCAGGCGACGTCCTCCTGGCACCCTGGGCTGAAGATGGTTTCGACTATGAAGCCATCCTGGAGGAGATGGATGAGGTGGGATACTTGATTCAACTTGCTGCCTTGTTTGGGCCTAGTTGATTGGATGTCACGGTTGCAGCTCTCTTGTTTCTGACGAACGCCCCGAGAGCGAGAGAGAGAGAGGGGGACACATATCCAGGCCAGCGACACCTGCACTGTGGCGTGGTCCGATGGTGGTCAGACTTGTCGAGTAGTGCCTTGGGCCAAGCGAGTCAAGCTCGTTCCAGTTTCTCTCTCCTTTATATACAGTTTTTGATTATGTCATCGATTGACCACGACGTTTGGTGTTGTTTTTTCTATTTAGCTCATGTTAGCTCATTGTTCATCCGGCTGACGAATGTATTGAACGAATGGTGCGAGCATCATCCCCACAAGATCATGTCTTTGAAGACGGCTTGGCCACGCTTGGCCTACGAGGTTCCCCGCGCGGCGGTCACGACTCTACAGGGCTTGTCACATCGGGATGACAGGGCGACAAGGCTTTGGGCATCTAGGCAGGGGATAGGAGGGGCTGGGAGAGGTCGTTTGCTTTTTGGTTCAGTTTGGGGGTCTTCAAGTGCTTATAGCCTGCTTGCTGCTTCCTCTGAAGTTCCGCTATGTGCGCGCAAGATGGGATGAACCGGTAATCTGATCATTTTGCCGCATTTGTTTGAGTAAGGTTCATCCGGTTTTTGCAGCATCAAGGGGTCGGATCTGTTTTTCTCTCATTCAGGCGTGCCCTGCGGCGGGCACTGCTGGACTGGCAAGGCCAAGCAGAGGCCGGAGTCGCACATGATGCCTTCGTTGACTTCGCAGGCGGGACGGAGCTGTAAGTGTTAGCAGCGCACCGAGTCGCATCGGACCAGGTCTTGTTTGCGACTTGGCAGCTGCGGAAATTCGCATTGCGCTCATTTCCTCCTGGCCCGGCTTGGAGCTGGCGCCGCCTGGCCACTGTGGTGAGCTTTTTGTAAGACGTTTCGTACACGAGCATCCTTGAAGAGACATGACCTGTCAGAACAAGCTTGCACTTTGCGCCCAAAGCTACCTTCTGTGAGTGTCAGGCAGAATTTGTTGAAACGCGGCAGCTTCACTGCCGAGCGGGCGTATGCACCGGACCCCCGTGCTTTGGCCGCGCTCTATTCCACCCGAGCAGAGGTGCTACGCTTCAACTCAGGCACCGGACGAAGCTGCGACGCGTGGCGACCACCCCAACTGTCCAAGCAACTGTTCATTCATGTTCTTGAATCGAACCTTTCCCAGCACCCAAGTCCACCCCAAAACCAGCCCAAATGTCACAGCGCCAACATTCTGCATTTGTATTTCTTTTAATGTATGAGTCTTACTAGCTGTGCTTACCATCCCATCTCAACAAATGGATGGTTCGAGAATGTTCGAGATCTCGCAGGTGCCAACTTGCGAGAGGTGCAGCTTCTGCATTTGCGCGTAGCTGACCACCTACGTGCTGCAAGTTGGCGTGACAAGGCGCCTCGCAGATGAGTTGAAGTTGGAGTGGATGGAGTGGATGGGTCACTCAGCCAATCTGTTTATTCCGTGCCAGCCGCGCTGGGAGAGTCCTGCTGGCCACCTTGGATGGGAGATTCTCCACGAGGCCCGCAGAATCCAATCCTTTGCGAATCACCGTTTTGTTTGGCTTCATGCAGGTGCAATGGGCCAAAGCATTAGCCCAGATGGCATGGAGTGAGCAGGCGCAGCCCCGTGGCTTGTTTGGCATCAGAACCAGTGCCGAGGCCCATAGGTCAGCGACTCAAGCTTAGCTCGCTGAGGTTCCCGACCAAATGCTTCGACCAAGCGGCGGAAAGCGCAAGTGCCAGCAACAGCAAGCGTATGGGCACTGCCGGACATGGGATGCGGATTCGATGGTCGAGCATTGAAGTGACATGTTTGGTGCTATTGTGAGGGAAGCCGCGGGAAGCCTTTAAAACTTGGCCTCCTAAGTTCAATATAGACTACTAGCTCCGGGCATCGCTACTAGGAGCAAGAAGCTATTAGTAGCCAGGACACAGACGGATTTTGAGTCGATCACAGTGGGATTGGGATTTGAAGTCTCGAAGGTGGACAGAAGGGCGTGTGGCCGTGTCCATCTTTCAGGAGAAGCTGCTCCCGCCCACCCCGGGTCTCCCTCGGGGTCCTGACCTGCTTCTACACCACAGCTGTGCGCTGCAGAGTGTCGGCAGAGCCTGGCGCGCCTTGCACTGGGCAGCCCATAGAGGTTCGCTCCAGAAGGGGTGCAAGTCATCTAGGGATGTCTAGGGCCTAGGGACTAGGGTTGGGCATGGTTCGGGCAGATTCTTTTATGATGTTAGCGAATGCGGATGATTTTCAATTGAAAGAAACGAAGAACAGATGAAGTCTGTGGGACGAGCGCCTGGCTCTTGTGTTGCACGTTACGTGCGATTTGGACGCCCTCACCATAATTACAAGCGGGTAGCATGAGTATGTGCCTACGTGTTGGACACACCAGACAGATGTTTTCTTGCAGCACACACCCTGAGATGCGCCAAAGAGCCTTCCTTGGACCTACAGTGCTGATGCTTGGCACTGCTTGGCTAACTTGGAGAGTTGCATTCCGTCGAAGATGCGCCGCATCGGCGGCCTTTTCGGGGGGGAACTTGAAAGAGGACAACGTTCATCCAAGGAGGAATGTTTTCTAAGGAGTCAGTGCGGGACTTCGTGGCTACACTGCCTGTGACAGCCGTGCATGTGAGGCTGCTGCTGGAGGTGGGGCGCAGGGAAACAGCAGCATGAAGGCGGTTGTAAGACAGGTTGTGCAAATTTGGGTATCTGAAAGCAGCATGGAGATCCCTCAAAAGGACCGGCATCTATTTGTTTGGGAATTGGTTGGCAAACTTTGGGACACTACCAAACCCTCCAGTCCTCAGGTGGCAATTCTGGTTTTCGTGATCGGCTGCAGGCCAGGCCCGTTCGAAGTCGTAGCTTCACGTGGTTGGCTGAAACATGGGGTGCCACCCCAAACCCCGATATATTACGATATATGTATATATATATATATACCCGATATAGAATATACAATTAGAATATATAGTATATATTTAGTACATGTCTGCATATATCATGTCTCATTGTATATGTAGGGTCTGTCCTATTACCTGTAGAAGTCAGTAAACAATTATTCCCCACCTGCCAGGTGAGGGTTGTTAGATTTTATCCCAGTTGTTCTTCCTCTTGCTTCCTTCCTCGCCAATCTTCATCGCCAATCTGCTTCGCCAATCTGCTTCGCCGATCTTGTCTGGCCAGCTCCGGATCGCAGTGCACACCCCTGGACCTCAACCGCAAGGATCCCCTCGCAGTGTGCACCCCTGGACCTCAACCGCAAGGATCCGATCGCAGTGTGCATCCCTGGACCTCAACCGCAAGGATCCGATCGCAGCGTGCACGCCTGGACCTCAACCGCAAGGATCCGATCGCAGTGTGCACGCCTGGACCTCAACCGCAAGGATCCGATCGCAGTGTGCACCGCTGGACCTCAACC